GAGTACGACCATGACTTACGCTCTTAATAAAACTAGTATCAATATCTATTTCTGCACTAAGGAGAAACTGGTGTATCTCATGCATCTTTAGGGTTACTAACAAGACTAGTTTATGAAGTATGTAGCTCTTGGGGAATGGTTAATTGTAATAGGAAGTAACAAATATTTTACAGCGTTTTAATGCGGACATTTTCAGGTTTCTCTTTTTAACTTCGAGTTTATTTTTTAAAGGAGGAAAAAAACGAAAATCGTCCGAATTTTAATTCAGCTGAAACTTTACTGGAATAATCCTTAAGGATCTAATAATTATTGGYTAAAGTTTTTCCCTGATATTCGGATGGGAAGTATTATTAACGGAGTCTGGGAAGTAACCTTTACTAATGCCAACACACTGAGGATATTACATGGGCGCGCGGAGATACGAATTTTATCTTCGAGTGTTGAGCGAGCACAGCGAACGAGTGAGAGATATATTCAACACTCGAAGATATAATATGTATCTCAGTCAAAGCGCCCATGTAATGTCAGTCTGTTTATTAAATAGATATCGATGAAARTTCCAATACAAACATATAAATTTGAACTATTTATTATTAATCGAATATCTTGAACATTTTCGTATGAATTGAATTTGAAATCTTAAAGAAAGTTGAATCGAAGCTTATTATTTCTTTAATGAAGACTCGGATCGGTTTGTAGTCTTTCCCCGCCTTTATTCTTGCATTTCATACAAATGAGGTAACAGGTCTAAGTTATCATAGAARTTCTCGTTTGCCGGTCACAAGTTCTTGTAATTTCGCATTTGAAGGAAGTAAAAGCCACCTGCTTACATGACTAAAGTTTTTCTAGTGACACATGATTATTTTCTTTGTTCTGGCGGGAATTTCGTAGCATGATGTCTTTTAAAAAGTAAGAAAGCTCACAATACCTACGCCAGCCGCGTAAAAACAAGTGAATTAAGATGATAACGCGTTAGTACATATTAAGACTCAAGATGAATAAACAAATTATAAGCGGCTTTGTAAGGAATAAGATGTTCACAGCTGGAACAAGTGAAAGTTTTTAAAGCGTTGTGTCCAGTGGAATGTTACTGCTTATAGACCTTATATAAAAAAGCTAACAAGTCTGTCTATCAATCGTCAATACACTGTAGTTTACATTCTTACAGAAATATAAACATCTGACAGTTAAAGTGCAAAATCTAAACATGTTCTAGAACATTTAATTCAATATGTGGTCCCGTGGGGAAATAGCTACTTTTGTTACCTCGAACATCGAGAGTCGACGGTAACAAATCTTTAATTAGCCATTCCGGGTTTGAATTTGCGTCAGAAAAAACCCTTCTGCTCTAAGAAAAAAAAAAAAAAAAATTCTACTCGAATACGTGATGAAGGCGAGTCCATCCGGAACTGAAACCGAGACCCCATAGATGAGATTGAAGAAAGCGAGTACCTTTACACCATCTTTTAATTTCCCAACTATCAGAGTGGTTTTCATCGGGACTAATATATTTTAATTTATTTAAGAACGCACTTAACTTTTTTAACCAATAAACACTTCCATATTTTATCCGGCTAAATGAATAATCCATTATTTCCTTTCAGAAACACAGTATACAAACCAYTCAGTGATAGCATTGATCAGTACCTTGATTATAGGTTCAAAGTTGACCATGACCGTCATGATAGTCTTTGTATTATTGACCACATCTATTCGAAACATGCAGGCTCTTTCGGGCCAAGACACGTGCCCAGTGKTGAGATACAATGGCAAATTCATTGAGAGTGACCATGTGAAGGACCACGCCCTTAATGGACGATCCTACAAAAACCTGACCACCAATACCATACATGAGTGCTTCAGTGTCTGTATCAATGACTGTCGATGTGTGTCCTATCAACTATCTGGTAGACGATGTGAGCTGATTGACGAGGACAGACACACAGCTCCTGATCTTTTCATCCCATTGGTAGGATACAAGTACTACGAGCTAAAGCAACAATTTAAAAAGGTAACATAAACAAAATATAAATTAAATAAAACGTAATCGTGCACTAACTACTTTTAAAACTCTTTCAATACGCTTCTAGAATTTTCAATTTTGTAAATAGAGTTTTTAATCTATCGCAGTCCAACAGTGTTGGTTGTTCAAGTCAGTGTAATAATGGCTGTTGTCGTTATTCTAAACCTTGYCTTAACGGTGGAACCTGCATCGAGACGTGCCAAAACGTCACACACAAGTTTCAGTGCAAATGTCCACAGGGTTTTGGTGGAAGAGTTTGTCAGATTCCTCCTTCATGTACAGCGTACAGCCACATGTCTGTGCCAAATATCTATCCAATYCAAACAACCAATGGTAAAGTTTTGAAGGTGTACTGTGACATGACGTCAGAGCAGGGGATGGTGTGGACTTTGATCGAGTCATTTGCTTTYTCGGCAAAAGAAAAATTCCAAGCGGCGCCCATGACAAAGGATTTTCCTTCCAACGAAGAAAACCCTCCCAACTGGTCTGACTATCGCCTGTCACGCAATACAATGCAACACGTCAGACGTGACGCTACTCACTGGAAAGCCACTTGCAACTTTGATACTAATGGGATGGTCAAGACAGACTACATCCGGGGACGTCTGAGTGAAATGGATATTCTGACGTACTTGGGTGGTCACAAGTGTGCTAGAGTCGAGTTTATCAAGGTGCGTGGAATCAAGTGCTCCGAATGCACAGTACACTTTGGCCAAAAAAGGTCACATCATCCCTTTATTGACAGTGCTAGAGGGTTAAATCTAGGGTGTACTTGGAATGGACGTCCTGGAGGAGTGGTCACCGATTCAAATTGGTGCGACAACTTTGGATATTATCGAGCTACCAACCCTGCTCATAGTTGTACTGCATCGCCGTCTTCTACTACACAATGGTGGTTGGGAGTTGCTGTTCCAAARCCATGAATGAACTGAGGCAGAAAAGAAGGAAGGAAAAAGGAAAGGRAGATAAAGAAGGAAAGAGAGAAGGAAGAAAGGAAACAGAGAAGGAACGAAAGGGAAGCGAGAAAGGAAAGAAATAGGAAGAAATAAATAATGAAACTTAAGAATGGTTTGCGTGCTATTCGCACAGTCCATAAGGCTCAATTCTTATATACTAGGTTGTCTATATTTGTTTTCACGGAATCGTTTCAATCGACTTATCCGCTTTTATAATTTAAATTTGAACGTGTAATGTAACGCAGTCAGCTTAAYTGTCTTGTATTGTGGACAAAAAGAAAAAAATAGCGCCCCCTACTCCTAAAACCCATAAATAGATCCCTTGAGATCCGACGACAAGAATGAGAACGAGTTTTTTAACTTTTAATATTGGTTCTATCATTTTGTGGTCGTGGTCGTGTAGGTAGATTGAAGCTTTAAAATATCAAATCGGAAAACGACTTCGATCCAGTGTTAACAACGCGCACGGGACCAATTTCAAAACTCGTGCTCGATCTCTTACTCGTCTTCGAATATACACCTAAWTCCAAAATGGCGCACGGCCGGTTGAAAACGAGACATCCAGGGCCAAATTTACAAATTTACAGTATTTTCTTATAATTTGATGCTGCAAAATTGTCGCGTTCTTTAATGTAAGAACGAAAGAAAGATAGAACAAGTAAACAAGYGTATACTTTGCAKTGACACCATATTATTTCTTTGCATTTGGCYCTGGATGCCTSGTTTTCATGTAACACACTCGGCCTTGYGCCATTTTGGACTTAGGTGTATTAAGATCGCTAATATTGAATGGACCCCTATCGAAAGTTTGAATTAAGAGAAACCGTAACAAACTCGTTCTCTAGCCAAAATGATCCTGGTACGAATTCGTAATTTGTAAGCTATCGAGAGCTACTACACTCGGTTTCGAATGTTTATTTTAGTCACTTGGAATCTTTTTATTATTCAGTGCGTTTCGTACAGTGTAGGCTTACATTAGTCTTTCCGGAATTGTAGAAATGCATTCTTTTTCCTTCCTCGTATATGGTGTAATTCATAATTTTTTTCGTGTTACTATTTGAACAAACAGCMTAGAAATAGAGTAATTCAACCATTTTGCAAGACACGCAATTAAACAATTAGACTCTATTTCTGCCCCATTAGAGTGCTTACACTATGTCCATGAAATAAAATCTAAATAGTTACTATCTAACAGTTTTTATTTAGCGACTATTGGTCACTATCACTCAACTGGAACGGCTTTAGTAACAATACACTAGGGAAAGCAAGCAAAAGAATCAGACCGGTGTAAGAGTAAAATATT